TCTTCTACTGCTTCGTCCTCGTAAAAGAAACAGACCTAAGGGGATTCTAAGTCATATATCGTTCGTGTTTTTCCGTGGAAAGAAGAGATATTTTTCCCTTAAAAATGTGAAATATAAGCAGTTATGTTTCCTGTCAATTTGTTGAAACGACGCATCTAAGGCTAATTTGCATACGGAGAATGAACTCGCGTTCTGATCGTCGACAAGGAAAAAAAACAAAAAACAAAACAAGAAAAAGCGATTACCAAGTTTTCTCCTCATGTTTTCAAAAGTCCAACATTTAAAGGGTCTAATGACATTCGGTGATAACTAGAAACGTTAAAACTGTGGAAATTAGTCGATCAAATGGGGACCGTTACAATTCCAGCTTTGCTGTCAAAATGGCGAATTTTGTAACACTAACGGAACTTTGTACAGCGCGCAGAGAAGAGTGCCCACAAATTTTATTGCATTAAGAAGTAGACTGGTCTTAGTACTTCTGATTTATCATAGACTTGAGTCTGGGTCAGGTGCCACTTTTGCGAAATTACCGTTCAGCTCTAGTTATGCAAATTACTTTTCCTGCTGAGCAAATTAAAGGTCATTTAAAAAAAATCATATCTCAGCCAACCTTCCACAGAATGCTACCATTAAACTTTGACACTGTTAATCAGAGTTAAAACTTTTGTGTGTAAAATAATCAGCTTATTCGGCTATGTAAGGTAGGTTTGACAGAGCCCTAAAGTTTCAGCAATATCGCACCACTTCCGACGTTAAACGGGCCAGTTTTAGGTGACCGAGAAAATCTTCCTGTAATATAGAGAAAAAATTGAGTTGGTCCAAATAAATGTAATATTTCTTCATGTGATAGGATAGTTATCTTCCACTGAAAAAATCAGGACAATCTGTGATACACCGAAATTTGCCTTATCGGTTCTTACGCGGACAGCCTCTTAAGTATTGCTGTATGCTGCGCTGAAAACTGGAAACTGTTGCTGGCTCATACTGTTCTCCATTTTTCTTGGGTGCGTTAAAAAAAAATTGCGACAAAAGGTGGTCAAGCTCGGATGCAGGTAAGCTTTCAATTTTCTCATTTTTCATACCATTAGCTTCCATGTACTGGAGAAGAGTGTTCATGTCAGTAGCCGTCTTCTTGTTTGTGTTTGGACTTTTCTGTTGTTTGATAAAATCGTCTATGGCCTCCTGGCTTTCAGTGATGCCTGTTTCAGTTTCTACATCAAAAGTTTCCAGATCGTCAGGATAATAAAACTCGCTTGGAGAATGTTTATCTTTGAAATTTCGGAAAAATTTCAATCTCTTTAGCTTTTTCTGGTAGTTTCGCTGTAAAGAATGACAATATTCACAGTTTTTTTTCGCTGTTTTCGTTGCAAATTTTGAATTTGCCGGCCTTGCTCCAAAACAAAAATACACGGGTTGGACCGTTTCCGGAAACGGTCCGTACTGCAAAATCCTGACCGAGAAAGAACCTATCAGAGCACAGCGATTTGCCGAAGACTGGATTTGCCATATAATAAAGAGATTTACTGAGATTTTACCAACTAAATGGTTCAAGTTTTCCAGTGCATGTCCATGAAGTGCCCTGGTGTTTTTTCACCTGTTAGAGTTACACGTGAATCCTGAACGAATTACCAATGCAAATCTTGCTGTTTGTTCCAAGGACCTTCTTCTCACTTCTCTTTTCTTTTCTTTGTCCTTACAAGCTCTGTACTCTTTTACAAGAGACTGCATGGTGGGGTTACTGCAAACGTCTTGATTATCCGCAGCAAGCCCAAATACTGAACAGATGTTCTTGTTTCGAAGTAATCCATTCATAAATTGTAAGTTATTATCTGGCACAAAATGAACAGTTTTCATTACTTCATCTCTCTTCCTTCCAATGAAGTCAGCCCTTACAAGCCTTTGTGCCCAGTCGGACAACTCTTTGTAGGGTACTTTACGTACTGGGGGCTTTTGAGTGCCTCTGTCCCAAGAAGTTGCTACCGAAGAGGCCGGAATGTGAGCTGTTCGTTCTACTCTTGCTTCTAACATGTCACTCTCTTGGAGGACATCTCCAACACAGGTGGTTGAGCTGTCACCTGAAGCTGAGGCTTCAACCTCATCTGGCATCATTGGTGCTGGTGTCACTACCAAACCATTGACCACAACCCCCGCGTTGCAAGTACTTGTATTGTTACTTTCAAATTGAGCCCTTGTACAAATTTCCTAAGTAAAGAAAGAATACCCAGGGATTTCAGAAAAGTACTTAATCCAAGGAGTAAAGATTATAAAATATTGTTAAGGGCTAACAGTTATTATTTGAAGTGAAATGAACCATGCTACAAGTAACTCGAATTGTTCATAAATGATTAGAAATGTACTTAGGTACATGTAAGATTTCCAGACAAAGGCCTGCTCTGGGACCTTAACTCGCCACGAGATTATGCGAACTAATGGGAGTTTAGGCGAGTTAAGGCGAGATGAGGAAAAATTGAGCTTGCCCATCAGTTGCAAGTTAGGGGAAAATGATCCACCTACTGTTGAGGTGATAAGGGTTAAAACTTAGTAATATGCTTTAGTAATATACTTAACAAGATGCCGTGCAATCTTTGTATGTCATATATATAGTAGGCTCCATGTTTCCCAATTACGAAAAAATTAAACAACAAATTTCAGATGAGCTCCAAAGTTGAATGAAGCCAAATCTTATTTAACTTTATTTAAATTGAATGATTTTCCTAATTTGACAAGCTTAAGTATGGATATGCTAGTGATATGGAGTCCCGTTCTTTATCAATATTACATAGCATTCAGACACCAAACTAGACCATTTGATGGTTGTATCATAATAATAATAATAATCATCATCATCATCATCATCATATATATAATTATTTGGCAGAATAATAAATTACCGGTAGTGGAAAAAAAATATGAAAACAAAACAATCATGAATTGATAAAAAAAATGTAGCTGAAGAAAAAGCACAGGTAGAATATTTTATTGTATTTTTTTAAATCAACAACACTGTTTCAATAGACAGGTGGGCATAATACGTATCACATGGCATGTCATCAATCGTTATCACTGACTCCAGAATTGAAAAAAAAAATGTTTTAGCAGTCTGTGTCAATGTTCTTCAAAGAAGTAGTATAAAAAACCGGGTAAGCTGACGAATTACAACTCAGCTGAGGAAATTTTTATGACACGATCAATTTTACTGAAATGAAATGAAATTACTTTCTCCTTGAAAGTTATAAGACTTATCTTTCAAGTCTTCCATTTGACCATTCTCTCCACTTCACTGATGGTTTCCCTTGGAATCCAGCCCAACTGTTTGTTTTCATTGCCACAAATGATTGCCTTTTCGTTTCGTAGGGATAATCCATTTTAATTTCTTGCAAATGAAGGTTGATGCCTGTTCGCAAAGACAGCAGTTCCTGTATTTTAGAAACTCCCTCCTTAAACTTGGACAATCCGGTGAGAGACACCTTGATTTCTACAAAAGAAAGAAGGATCAAGTTAACTTGCTAGTAAAATTTTTATCTTTCTCACTTTCTCACTTTCTCAGCCGCAGGAAAACAACAAAAAATAAATGACCATATTTCTTTTCAGGCCTACTTATTTTAAAAAAGTGTTCATAGTTGTACAAAGGGGTATACCTTATTTAACTTGATTGACAAGAAAATACTCTCCACTATCGGCTTTGTCTAGCAAACTCTTAAGAATTGTCAGTGATGAACTTTTCCTGGTTCGCATTTTTACAAAATGACCTTTGGCTCAGCCGTGTTGTGTGTCTTTACATGTCGTGTACGCCACATTGAAGCTTCCTACCCAAAACTTGCCAGTGGACTGGGATCAACAAGTCTTTTATAGAGTTAACGTTGCAAGGTTAAAAGGCTTTAGCTTAGCTTACCTGCAACCTGCATGCGATACATCTCGAAACTTCTCGATTTAACATCTAAATTATTGCACGAGTTCTCCTTCTTTTCTTCAGAAGTTTTCCCCGTCCATCTTGAAAATTACCTAGAATACATATCGAGGAAAATGGGCTGAGCGAGAGGGCCCTGGAAAGACAAGAGTGACCAGTATCTTCTGGCCAGTCTCTCGCGAAAAACGGCAGGAGAATTCTAATTGTAATCACAGTTCTTATAATGCTGGCGGGTTTTGTGTTGTTATTGGTCAATTTAGCTTAAAATGTCTGACAAACCTCAAAGTCGAGAGGAAATCGAGTTTTTAATAAATGGCAATGCACTGAAAAATAAATTGCAGTACGTTTGGGATCAGGCAGTAACTGGTGACCAAGGCATCCAAATCCTGCAGATCAGGAATCGAGTGTTGATTGCACGGGAAAAGCTAAAGTTCAATGATTGTGAGAAAAATTACGTTGAGCTGCTAAACAATCTTGTTGGTAATGGAATAGCCAAATTCAAAACAAGCTCCAAAAGGTTGCTGTCCAGAATTAAAGTGGAATGCTCTAAGGCAAAGAGAAAGTTAGAGTAGTCCAGAGGAGAGGAACAAAAAAAACAGAGAAGGATTTCTGAATTCCTGGACAAAACTTTCAATCCTGAGAAGTGACGTCATGACTGTGGGTGATTTGGAAGAAGAAAACAGGAGATTACAGGGAAAAGCCCAGGAACAAGAGGACAGAATAAAACTTTGAATTATGACATTGAAGAGTGGAAGCCAAAGTTTGAAAACCTGGAAAAGGAGAAAGAAACATTATACCTGGAAATGGAAGTGGAGAGTGAACGGCATAGAATAAGTGCAAAGGAAGAAATGAAGGTGATGAAAGAGACAAATGAAAGCAAGGTAAAGTACATCAGAAAGCTTGAAGGAAATGCGAATATGCATTGAAGGCCCTCTGTAAAAGACATCACCAACCTATCAAAGAGGCAGGTAGACAGAAGATTACAGGACCTCGGAACGAGGGCCCAGAAAGCTCTTTGGTTCGCAAAAACTTTTGCCTTAGAGCAAGAGGAAAATCAAAACAAATTTCCTCTTCGCCTTCTCCATCTGAAAAC